AAAATTTGCACTTATTTAACAGCTTCGGTACTTTTTGTTTACAGTGTAAGCATTTATGTACTTCATATTTTCCATAACTATATAGCACTTTAAATTATTAACAACAGTACAGGGTGTTTGGATTCAGTGCAAACCGTAAACTGAATCCTTGTGTTTGTTATCTCTAATCTAGTCTAAATAATAATTGTGAAGCAAATTCTAAATATTGTTTGTCTTTTGGCGAGGCTTTTTGTGGTATTAAAAGAATAAATAAAATGCCAACACCTACTGTCAGTTTAACGGAAAAACAAACAGCTTGAAAGCATGATGGCACTGTGTATTCTGCTGGGCATTACAGCTGTCTCCCCACTGTGTACACAATAAAGCCTCTAAGAGGCCCTTCATGTGTTTAGGTCTGATGTAGATATTTTACAGATCAGGAGAATTTTCACTTCAGTGAATATCTCTGAATTAAAGAAAATATCCAGTTTATATTTTCTGTGGTCGCAGATGATGGGATAGGTTCCAGCATTCCCATGTCCCTGTAGGAAATGCTGCTTGGAGAATGGATGGATTTATGGATGGGTAATATTTTGGCTGAATTTTAAGTATAATTTGAATTTTATAAGTATACCCATGGGAAAAGGGAACATTCTTCCTGTGAAGAATGTGAATTTTGTGTTCAGAGTCACTGATGAAATTGTTTTAGTATAAAATTATTTAAAAATGCTATATTATGTGTTTTATTAATGCGTGTTTGTGGAACATTTGTGATGCTATCATTTGATAGTTTCATTTATCAAATTGATACTCAACATTGTACACCAGTGTTTACATCGACTTATAATCATCTTGAAGGGGAGACCAGGGAATGTTGCAGTAATGGGTGAGATGTAACACCATCAGTTTAACCAATCAGAAATGAGCTACAGTTGTGAACTCATTATCAAACAGGACCACCACCCTCCTGAAGTTCACACATATAAAAAAAAAAAAAACTTTTTTAAAAGAGTTATGCTTTCACATTTGTCTCGATATTTACTTTGTGATCATGTAATTGATATTAAATGACAGAATTGGTATAATCTAAATCAGTATGGTATATAACATTAACACACGCTCTCTATAGCCTTCATGCATGGTAATTTTTCTCCAGCATATTTAGGCTACTATTTTGAATTTTAAAAAATGTAAGTGAAATAAGGGTATAATGGGGTACCATAATTCATTTTAACAAGTAAATCTGATTACCACAACAAATATAAAATAATGTTTTCAGTTAGTATTTCAGCTCTGATCAAGCATTGTGTGTAATTCACTAATTTATACATCTCCCTATTGTTAGGTTCTACCTTATTTTGTAGCATATGGAAATATTATTTTAGGGTTTAAGACACGTAAAAACAGTTACACGTCTCCCTTATAGCTAGTTTACTTCTAGTTCTTGCAAGCCCAATCAAGCCACATTTCATTAGGTTTAATGTAAGAAAAGCGGAAAGTATACAGTATATGCAGCAATGAAACATTTAAATCAGCGCGCCTCGTTGCGCTTTTCACCTACCCATCAGGACACGCGCCGGCTTCTCTTACTGGAGAAAACGGTGTGAAAACGGTTGTCGCGGTTAATGTGGCAAGTCCCATCCAACAGAGTATTAATCGATTCCTGCCCACTGAATTACATACAGCCTAATCTTGCGAGGTAGTTTCTTTGTAGGGATTTGTTTAAGTAACGATCAGTCACATCTGTGTGCGTAGCTGCAGCTTTGCTTGGCACAAGTGATTTCGCGTTATTTTGGGGAAACACCCTTTGTGCAAGTGGCGCCAGGCTCCCAGTGACGTCACGGGCGGGAGTGAGGAATTCCCTAGTGCGCCCGTTCGGGGACTGAACCACTTTGGAGAGCCTGTGTGAGCTGCATACAGATCAGCCTCTGGTGCTGAAACTTTTGTCTTTGGCATTCAAGTCAGTGACATTCAAGTGTTCTGGTCTGAAGACTATAAACTGCATCTTAATGCAATATTTAAATGTTATTTCTCAGAATTGCATTTTTTTAAAATGTTTCATTAAAAAGTTAGGGAACTGTCTTCACTAGAGGACACAATGGATGAAAGATGTGTCCAGCTCATGCAGAAGTTAAACATATATATCAGAAATGAGATATAGAAATAGGCTAACTCGCTTTAATTTGCGCTGAATTTAAGGCATGTAGCAGATGTTATTTTCCAGAACAAATAACTCAGCTGTTCTCATAAAGCAATAAACAAAATGACTGAAATTCTAGTCTGTTTCTCAGAAGACTTGGAATACAGCGCATGAGACATTTGGAAAACTTTATGACATATGTAATTTTATAGCTTGACAGCCCCTATTCCCCATTCCCTTTGAGGGAAAAGAGTTCCCCTTCATGGGAACTTCGAACTGCGTGCTCTAGGGGTCGCTATGGGGGAACGCCTCGTCGTGACCCGTGTCTGAAGCATACACTGAAAAAACACCAA